ATATATATATATATATATACACACATATCTATGGTCTACACTGGCTGCGGCATGACACGACAAATCCCCGACAGAAAACTGCTGCTGCTGATTTTTGAAAAATCTCTTACCCCACCTTTAAGTGCTTTACTCCAGTAAATGTCTCTGTTGACTTTTTTGTCTCTATATTTTGAAAAGGGAATGCATACTTTTACACCCCGATGCATTTCTCCAGAAGCTTTCGTCACATTTGCTACCGCAAACAGCACATAAGCAAAAAATAAGTCGAATCTTCGGATGAATTCGATTCTTTTGAATCTGTCAAACCGGTTCGCAAAGAGTCTGAATCGTTCATCTTTAGAATCACAAATCTGAATTTAAACCTCTAAAGATGCTGCTCGTGTAAGTTTTCATTTGTTATTGGTCTGAATTAATTTGATACGTTTTTTTGCTTAATAATTATGAGTGAAGTACTGATGAAGTTATGTTTCTAGAACTTGTAGTGTTTTGTTGTGTTTACATGAGTGCTGCAGTTGCTAAGGGGTTCCCAGCGTTTTTTTCCATTACTGTGTTGTTGCTAGGGTGTTCTGGCTGGTTAGGGTTTAGGGTCTTTGCTCTTCTATGTAGAAGTGGCTTCTAGCTGTTTAATTTGTAGTGTGTCATATTGTGTCAAAGAGCTACTGTGGTAGGACTAACATAGACTACAACACCCTATTGCCAGTGGTAGCCTATATATTTATAAAATTGACTTGTGGTTTTGATATTGTAGTATTTTTCACATGAAAAATATTGTAACTTGGGTCGATTTCTTTAAAGGTATCTTTATGATGATTGGACACTATATACAACCCTTGTTATACTGCACAGTATTCAGTAGCATTGAGCTTTCTGAACTGTGTTTTACCTCTGTGTGCATGCAGTACATGTCTGTCTCTACATCCAGGGCTGTAATCTCATTCACACTAACCTTCACAGATGCTGTTTGGATGTGTGGCAGAGCCTCACATCCAGCAGTGAATATTAGCCCATCTACCTCTGCCCCTGGGGTGTTAAAAACCTTGCGACTCCAAACACCTGCACTGACAGACATCATGGCTTTTCTGTCCACAAATACTCTAGAATAAATAAAAGTTGTATCACATTAATGTTTTGACCACCATGGGACAGACAATTTTCTTAACATATGTCAAAAAGATTACATTTAATTATTTTTGAGGATTTGCATTTTTAATAGGCCATGAATGTCAATTTTTGCACTATTTTTTTAAAAGAATATTATATACACTACCGTTCAAAAGTTTGGGATCAGAACGATTTTTCCTTTAAAATATAATTTATTTCTGTGATGCAAAGCTGTGCAAATGCCAAGAAACAACAGTTTCCAGCACTGATAATAAATCAGCATATTAGTATGATTTCTGAAGGATCATGTGACACTGAAGACTGGAGTAATGATGCTGAAAATTCAGCTGCGCATCACAGGAATATATTAGATTTTAATGTATATTAAAATAGAAAAACATTATTTTACATCATAATAATATTTCACAATATAATTTTTTCCCCTGTATTTTTGATCAAATAAATGCAGCCTTGATGAGCAGAAGAAACTCCTTTAAAAAAACATTACAAGTCTTTCTGATCCCAAACTTTTGAACGGTAGTGT